ATGCCTGCATTTGTCTGGGGTTACTGACTTGTGTGTCCATGTAATGCCCAGTAGGTGGTATTTAATCATTTAATTTCTAAAGTAACTTTTCACAAAACATTACTGGTGTTTTGTCCTTCCCCCCACCCCACTTCCCCACCCCCACCCCCACCCCTCGAGACAGGGTTTCTCTATGTAACGGCTCTGGCTGTTTTGGAACTCCCTCTGTAGACCAGGCTGGCCTCAAGCTTACAGAGATCCTCCTGCCTCTGCCTCCTGAGTGCTGGGATTAAAGGCGTGTGCCACCACCACCTGTTAAGGTATTTTGTTCATCTTAAGAGAGTTAATATGAAGATAAAAACAGGCTGAAACGTTTTCAAAGCACATAATGCTTTGAAGTTAGAAGAAAGAACAAGAATTTCCTATGTCTGGTGTCACTGCACAAAACCTTATGTATGTTTTTGTGATTGCAGCTGATTCATGACTTTCACATAATATGTTTGGTTATGTAGTATATGCAGAGCTCATTAACTGGGTCAAATTAGAATAACATTTATATACTATACATTTTATACCTCACATATATAAAAATACAGGTTTGTTGCTTTAGACAGCTAATTAAAATATAAGATGGATTTTTTTACTCTATTTCAACTCTCTAAGTGGTGTTTCTAAACTACTGGAAAGAACTGTTCTGAATATCATCAGTGTTTCACATAATATTGTTTAAAACACAGACTGGCCATTTCTATAACAAAAGAGTACTTAATCCAGCAACAACAGTGTCTCTACATCCCCTGCCTACATAGTTTAGTTTTCCTACATTCTGGGAATTTGATGCAACTGGTGTGCCCAAAGTTGTCACCTTTAGCCATGGTTCACAGAAGTGTGTATGTGTGTGTGTGTGTGCATGCACACATGCATTCGAAAGTAGTCAGGTGTGTGTGTGTCATGCCTGATGCATACGCATGAGGAGGCCAGGGTTCAACTCAAGGTATTCCTCCTCAGACACTCTCTCCACTTTTATCTGTTTGGAGTGGAGTCCCTGACTGGATCTGAAACTTACCAGTTAGACTGGGCTGACTGGTCAGTGAGCCTTAAGGATCATTCTGCCTGGGTCCCCAGCACCAAGACAGGTAACAAGCATATTCCAGCACCCTGTCCTGCTTGTTCTATGGGGATCAAACTCAGGTCCTCATGCCTACATGACAAGCAGTTTACTCACCATGCCAGCTCCCTAGCCCCTTAGTCTTTACTTTTTGTCCAACTGCAGATCTTGGTTCACTCAGTAGAGTCCTTATTTATACTTCTTTTCCTAGCATAATTATTAATATCACTTTCTGTCACTCTCATGAGTGTTCGAGGGTCAATGATATGACCACCTTGTATCTAGTAGAAGACTGATTTCTTTTAAGGCTGTGCCTCAAAGCCGAGAATCTGACCTCAAATCACAAGAAGTACTTTACATCAGTGAATTTCATTTAACCGTTAAACTTGGCACACATATTAAAGTGATTGGCATAAAAATCCTTAAAACAAATAGTATGTGAGTGTTTTCCAAATAGATAAACCATCTTCCCTTCACAGTCAACATTGAAGGTAGGTAGTGTTGACACCCTGTCTTACTATTGTTAAGGGAACTGCAGCACTGATAATTGAGGAATATTGCACAAGGCAAATTAGCTAATAAGTCGATGTTCTGGGATTTGAACCCTTCTACTGACTTTAAAGTTGTCATTCATAACAATTGTATTCTTCATGGAAGATAACATTAGGAAAGGATGGGAAGTCAAGGGTCAGTGTGTTGAAGCATAAGTGAAAAGGCTGTGAACTGAGTAAACCATCCAATGGGGAAGTGCTAGCTTAATCTATTTAGTTTTCCTCTTCTGCCTCTGCCAGCAAAGGGGTGCAAGGAATGCCCACAAAAGAAGCTGCCCTTGCATGTTCAGACAGTACCTCTTGAAACAGCAGGAGAAAGCCAGTCAAATAATTGTGTAGGGTCATCACCCAGGAATCTCACAGCGAGGCTTCAACCTCCTGTCTCTTCCCTTGAGTCCTCTGACTCCAAATCCAGTGTCTTGAGTAAGTCTCCTTCCCAGGACAGTGTAGGGAATAAACAATTAGACTTGTAGAATGATTTTTGAAGTGTATTAATCATAAGCATGCATCCATTCACTCTGTGAGACCACTGCAGGAATCATCAATTCTAAAGCATTAAGCAACAACTCACCATAATCCACAGTTGAATCATTTGTTGCTTGTTTACTGTACTAGGATGCTGTTTCCAGGTTAGAAGAGCTTGTGTGCTGGAGTGCTCAGCTGCTGCTTGTCTGACAACATAAAACAAACCATTTCTGTGCCATCTGAGTAGAGCTTAGAATGTAGGGCTTCAGTCAGTCAGTCAATCCCTTCCATTGCCTATTCCCGAAGGCCCAGAACAAGAGTAATTTCCTCCAGACAATACCAGACTATAACAATTTAACCTTTAGTCCACTACAGCCTCAGACTCCTCCCATTCTGTGTGTAAACATGTGTGTTGTCTCTCTTTCCCCCCCAAAAAAAAACAATTATGGACTTGAAGATCCTCACAATGGTACTGGGACAGGTCTTAATGGCATCCAGTTTGTGCAAACACACACTCTCTCCTCTCTTCTTTCTCCCTCTCCTTTCCCAATAGGGATGTGTTTGCATAGTACACATGTGCAGGTATGGAAGCCAGAGGTCAACATCACATGTCTGCCTCACTCACTCTTCTGCTCCTTTTAGAGACAAGCTCTCATGCTCTCAAGGAGATCTGCCTGTGTCTGCCTTCCTAGCATGGAGTGTCAGACTTTTATGTGGATGCTGAGGATCTGAACTCAGGTCATCATGATTGTACAGTAAACCCCTTACTGACTGAGCCATCTCCCAGCCCCAATTTACTTTTTAATTTTTTAAAAAGAAATTCCATCTGATGCTGCATTGAATGGGTTACAGGGCAGTAAGAATGGGAGGACAGGTCTAAGAAGACTCCTCAGTTGGTAAAATGCTTCTCATGCTTGTATTCAACCCTCAGAACCCACATTTTAAAGAATACAGCATGGTGACAAATACAGTTCCAATGCTGGGGATGTGGATGTGGACCCTTGGGGGCTTGCTACCCAACCAGCATAGACTACTCAGCAAGTTCCAGGCCACTGAGACTATGTCTCAAAAAGAAAAGAAAAGACACAACACACAGTCTACTCATTCCAGATAGAGAGCCAACAACAAACCAAACCACTGGAGGAGGAGGAGCAGCAGCTGCTCCTAACTGCGGATCCAGTTCTCCAGCCCCAGTCCTTTGTATTTTTATGTAAGCTGCTCCTTCCAGTCAGCATACCCCCTCATCCTCACCAAGCACACTATTGAATATCCTCTAGGATATTCTCAAATGCTACTAAGAATCCTACTTTGAATACTCATTATTTAAGTACTTAATGCTTATTTTATTTGCCAAGTTAAGCACCTTATATTCATTATTTGGTTCTGTACTGATAGGTTTCTATTACAATAATTGACAAATGAAGCATAACTGGTCCTATTCTAATTGGAGAACACATGCACACACTATAATATTTCAAGAATATTAAGTATTAAGGAGCTAATAAAGGGAATATTGACCGCATGTGTAGCACAAAGTCAACCTGGGAGAATCAAATTCATAGAGTAAAAGTAATATTTCGATTTTTGCTATAGGTAGACCTGATTTTGGATTATTTTTCTACTTCAGTGTGTGACTGAGAATGATTTTTCTCTTCAAAGTACATCTGTAAAGTGGGAATATTATAGCTTCCTTCACGGAACTGTTGAAAGGATTCATTAAGGTAATAACCAAAGTGCCTATTACAAAACAAAAGAAATGTTTAAAGCAGGCTAGAATTTTAAAGAAGTTACATATGTGGACTTGTTTCAGAGACTTCAGTAGGTCAGTTCAGGATGGTGAGAGTGTTGGGAGTGTGGGAACAGACCAGCTAGGTTCAGATCATGCAGGTATCCAGAAACCTAAAACATTCAGTGTTAATAATAACACTAAACCAGGCGTTGGTGGCACACGCCTTTAATCCCAGCACTCAGGAGGCACAGGCAGGCAGATCTCTGTGAGTTTGAGGCCAGCCTGGTCTACAGAGCTTGTTCCAGGACAGCCTCCAAAGCCACAGAGAGACCCTGTCTCAAAAAACCAAAATATTAATAACACTAACATCCTGCACACCAAATCTAAAACATTCTCCCTAACCATTGCTTATCTGCAGGAGCAAATGAAAGGAAATATGGTAGGGAGAGGAGGGAGCTGCATTTTCCAACTACTGGGGAGACATCTCACACTTACCATCACCTGAAAGCTCCAGGAGGAGCTGACTTTTTTTTTTTTTTTTTGGTTAGATTTTACCCTGCGATGTCTGCAATCTCAGCCTGTTTCAGGAAGGTGATTGCAGATTTGTCTGAGTGGATTTTTGGTGAGATTGTTAGCTCTTAACGGACAGTGATGAAAAGTAGTGAACTGAACTGAAGTTGCAGCACGAAATTTGCTGTGTAAGTTTTCCAAACCATTTGGTCCATTAATCTGTAGCCCCTCAAAGCCCATTCTTAGTATAGTCAGCTGATGTAACTGGGTGGTGGTGGGTACTACGTGTACCTCTATTTTAAACATTTAAATGGTGATATTTGCATATTGATAACTTGAAGAGTTGAGGCTCCCTTTTAACGCCAAAACTTGAAATCGTGGCTTTTAGTGTTTAGCTGTGACTTTTACACTACTTCACGCCCTTAAAACTACATCTCCCAGCATGCTCAGGAGCTTGTCTGACCTCATTTTAAATAGCCCCGTAGGGCAACAAGGCTGGTTAGTTTTGGCCGTGCTGCTTGTGCCATGAAAAAACCGATCTCAATTGGCAGCCATTTGGGCTTTTATATCTGTCAAGCCCCCTTTTTAAACTGTGATCATTAAATGAAGGGATCTGGTCTGGGAGGGCCCATCCATTCCCTCAAATGAAAAAGGGACTAGGCAAACTGTCTCCAGCGATCTAAATGAGAGGGAATGTTGACCAGGGAACACCGCTGGGGCCGATCAGAGGAGCAGGAACCTGAGCCCACGCTGAGTCCGAAAACTGTCGGATCGAGACTTTGGCTCGGGGACGGTTGGAAGTGGGAGATGGAGATGGCAGAGGAGCCCGCCAATAGTGGGCATTCGCTACCCCCGGTTTATATTTATAGTCCCGAGTATGTCAGCATTTGCGATTCTCTCACCAAGGTCCCCAAACGGGTAAGAGAGATCTGGATGAAAGACCATCTTTTGGGGGGATGGGGGTTGGAGGGTGTGAAAAGGAGTACATTAGGAAGCCGGGGAAACTGGGCTTAGAGATACCTTTAGCAAAAATTTAACTAGCAGTTTGAGACGCACCAAGCTGAAGTAGAAGGAAGTGGTTCGTTACCTTTGGGGGGAGCGCAGTGGGGCATCCAACGCTGGTTGTGGGTGGGGGAGGGAAGGAATGGTGAAGTGGTGAGTAGAGTTGCTAATAGGAGGGGTTCATTGAAGTCCTCAACCACAAGCCGTTGAGAGAGAGTTGTAAGTAAGGCTGGGTAGCTTCCGTCTTGGCGATTTTGATACTGTTTTGTCTTAAGGTTATCCCAACTGTTAAAGTGAAAAAGGAAGAAGAGATATAGTTAATTCTTCATGTTGGATGTTGTTAATGGGATTTCAGTAAATTGAACCTTGAAGAGACTATTTTGCCTTTTTTCTTTTATGCTGATATTTCAGGCCAGTATGGTCCACTCTCTGATCGAAGCATATGCCCTGCATAAACAAATGAGGTAAGTATGTTGACCTCTTTGAACATAGTCACCCATGAAGCCAGGTATATTCATAGCCTTAAGGGACTGACCAGGGAGTGTTCATTATATGTCTGTAACTCAGGAAAAGCTCTTGAAAACGTGAGAACACTTGGGAAAGGCACACAAGCAGCCAAGATACATTAGAAGGGATTTTGTTGCTAGATAAGCACTTGTCAGATGCTGAGATCTCTCGGATGGGTAGGAGTTAAGCAGGGAAGTGTTCATTTTTTGTTTTATATTTGGTTTGTGTTTTGTTTTATTTGTTTTCGAAAACGGGATTTGATGATGTGGGTTCAACTTGAGACTTTTAGATATGCTACCCCACCATCACCAACAAACTTTAACCCAAGCAATCTGTTGAGACCAAACCAGAACTTAAGACCTAAAAAACAAACAAACCAAAATTAAGCTTTCTGTTGGTTGCCAAATCTGTATTGAATGCCATAAATGCAACTATTTGGACAAGGCACATGACAAATCAGGTTTTTTTTTTTTTATGACTAACCAACTGGGTGAGTGGCTATATCATCTAATGCTTCATCTCCCTCCTAGAAAATAATGTCATAGGTTTTCGGATTTTATCCTTAGTATTAACTCATTTTTAGTGTGTACATTCATTTTTTGTTTGTTTGTTTTTCAAGACAGGGTTTCTTTATGTAACAGCCCTAGCTGTCCTGGAACTTACTCTGTAATCCAGGCTGGCCTCACACTCACAGAGATCCTCCTGCCTCTGCCTCCCAAGTGCCAGAATTAAAGGTGTTCACTGCCACCGCCCTAGAGTGTGTACATTATTTAGGAGTGTTTTGTTGTTGTTTTGAGACAAGTTCTCTGCTGTAGCACTGCCTGCCTAGGAACTGTTAGGTTGACCAGGCTGTCCTTGAACTTACTAAGATCCACTCAGCCCTATCACACCTGGCTAGCAATGTTGTTCTACCATTGCCAACTCATGTTTGTCAAGATAACTACTCACCTTTCCTTAAAGGACTTTAACACTGTTCTGAGCCAGGTGGTGCAGAAACATCACAATTTCAAAGCCAGGCTTTGTTCACTTAGCCAGATTCTGTTTCAAAAATAAAAATTTTAAAGGGGTTTAGGATGTTGTTCAGTGTGTAGAACACTTGTCTACATACATGAGGCCTTGATTCCCACACACAAAATTAACATTTAGAAATATTTTTATTGCAGACAAGATGTTAAAGCAAGACTTGTTAGATTGCTGATAAGGAGAGGCTGTCAGTATTCTTTAGTTTTAGGATTCACGGAAATAAATGGGGAGGTGCTGTAAGAGGGAACATTTAGAGAGGCTGGGGAACATAGGATTGAGATTGTGAAAAAAAATGAGACTGGGTCTCTACATAGTTCAGGCTGTCCTGGAACGCACTCTGTAAGCCAGACTGGCCTCAAACTCAGAGATCTACCTGCTTCTGCCTGCTGGGCTTCTTGATATTTTTATTGTAAACATTTTATTTCAATGCATTTATTTATTTTGATGAGGTGTTGGGTCGGTGAGGGAGTGGTCAAACAAGTGCACATGTTGAGATCAGAAAACAACTTATCAGGAGTTGGTTCTCTCCTTCCACCATGTGGGTTCTGGGATTGAATTCAGGTCATCAAATGTGATACCAAGTCCTTCACCTGCAGAGCCATCTTTCTGGCCCTGAGATTTTTGTTTTAATGGACAACTTTTTCCATCTCTCATGGTACTTGAAGAAAAAGCAAGAATCTTTGATTTTGACTGTATATTTGACTTTTGAAGTTGAACCACAGGATTTTAAACACCTTGGTTTTACTAGTTGTCTAAATATTCTACCTGTATTTATTCACAATAGCCTCACAGCTCTATTTCCATTTGGAAAATACACATGGCTACCTCTCTGTGGCTAGACTAGTGCTCCTTCAGTTTGAGTGGGCATTCATCTTGTTAAGATTGATACTAAGCTGAACAGTGGTGGCACACACCTTTAGTTCCAGCACTTTGGAAGGCAGAGGCAGGTGGATCTCTGTGAGTTCGAGGTCAGCCTGGTCTGCAAAGTGAGTTCCAGGACAGCTAGGGCTATTACACAGAGAAACTCTTGTCAAAAAAACAAACAAACAAAAACAAAAACAGTATGTGTGTGTATTCTTGTTAGAATACAATTTGTTCATTAGGCCTAGAGTAAGAAAGATGTGACCTCTGCTTTCCTAAGAAAGAAACTCCATGCTGCTAGTGTTTTGACTGCCCGTTCAGTGGCAAGAGCTAGAGAACATAACTGCAACAGAATCTAGAAGAGAAAATGGGAACTCAGCAAGTTCGAGGCCAAAAATTTCATGTAACTTGCTTCCTTTATTTTCTCATTCACTCCATTTCTCACTCACTGTAAGGAGCAGATTGGGAGGTTCTAGCCATTTGCTCCTTCTATCCTTCCCCTGGGAGACAGAAGGAAGAGACCACATAATAGAAACTTTATGATTGAGGATACTGGAGAGATGCTGAAGCAGAAAGTAAGAACACTTGCTATGCAAGCACTAGGACCCAAGTTCAAACCCTCAGAATCCACAGAAAAAGCTGGGTTGTGTCACACATACATGTAACCCCAGTGTTTTAGCGGGGTAGCAAGAGTCAGAAAAATTGCTGGGGCTCACTGATCACCCATCTAACTCCAGGTTCAGATTCAGTGAGAGATTTTTTCTCAAGTGAATAGGGGTGAGAGTTATAGAGCTAGGTATAAGACATCCTTTTCTGGCCTCTGTGCATATACAGGCTTGCAAAACTACATGCACATTTGCCCATACAACACTCCCCGCCCCAAATAAATACTTTTTACATTTGACTTCTCTTTTTTTTTTTTTTTTTTTTTTTTTTTTAGACAGGGTTGTATAGAGCCCAGTTTGGTGTGGAACTTGTTGTGTGGGCTAGGCTAGCCTCACACTTACGATCTTCCTGTCTTTATATGCTGTGCTTAAAAACATTTGCTTCCATAGCTAATGTGGTACCTTTGTATGACCTTTTTCTGCAGTGTTGGGGATCAATCACAAGCCTTCCACTAGTTAGGCAGATGTTGTATAACTGCCCTCCATTCCCAGTCCAGTTTCCCTCGTTTTTATTCTAATATTGATGATAATTGTCCAAGAAGTTTTGTATATGTTGTCATTTTCTGTACACATAAGTCCACTAAGTTGACCCATTTTACAAATGAGAAAGCTGAGTTATAGAAGAGGCGACTCACCTGAAGTTAACAGAACCAGGAAGTACTGAGTTAGGAAAGGAATCCAGTTCTCTGGCAGGTGTGTCTGATAACCCAGGTGCCTGTTAAAACAAAGACACACAAGGATGGGGAACAAGACTCAGCACCAAAACTAGCACAAGTGACTACACATCTATCTGAAAGGGTTACCTAGTCCAAGTAGAAACCAATTCAAATGTAAATAGCCTTGCTATTTTGTCATGAGATGTAACTCACAGAGTGAAGTTTATATTTCAGTCTTTTAAATACACAGTTTTATGATTACTTATTTTATGTGTATGAGTGCTTTGCTGGCATGTATGTGTGCATGAGTGCTGGCACCTACGGAGGGCAGATATGGGTGTCAGATCTGGAAATGGAGTTGTAACTGGTTGTAAGTTACCACATAGGGGCTTGGAACTAAACCCCAGTCCTCTGCAAAAGCAGCAACTTCTCTTAACCCCTGAGCCATCTCTCCAGCTTCAGAGTTCTTTTTAATGTTTTAAAAATTATAGATATTTGTTTAGGAAGATATGTGTGCCACAGAGCATACATGGAGGTCAGAGGGCAACTTGCCAGGGCAATTGGTTCTCCCCTCCACAGGGGCTTAATTCAGGTTGACAGGCTTAATGGCAGGTGCCTTTACCTACTGTGCCATCCTGCGGGTCCTGGGTTAATGAGTTCTATGTGGCTAAACCTTGTTCTGTGACCTTGTTATGTGATCATCTATTTGAGTTAAATATAATTTTTCAGTTATGTTCTCCTACCTAAAAACTCAAAGGGAAAACTGTCTTCTTGCCTCTTATTGTGGGGTCAATGTCATAGATGGAGGAAGTGAAGACTGAACAGTACAGTGGAGGGAACCAGAAGCTGGGAGTTGTCTTTTCTGTTCAGAGTGTTGGCTGCTCTTTTCAGCACTATGGGTCTGACTCACTTCTCTATGTTCACCCTGTTATTATTAGGATAGTGAAGCCCAAAGTGGCCTCCATGGAGGAGATGGCCACATTCCACACTGATGCCTACCTACAACATCTCCAGAAGGTCAGCCAAGAAGGTGATGAGGACCATCCAGATTCCATAGAATATGGACTAGGTAAGGTTCTCTCAGGCAACAATGGAAGATCAATAGACCCCCCACCTGTCCATTGGTACTTAATTTGTCTCTGTATGTTTATGTATGTTATAAGTATGTATGCCTGTATGTGGTGGTGTGCATGTGTCTGCTGATACACACGTAGAACCAAAGGTCAACACTGGGTGTCTTCTTTTTTGTTTGTTTGTCTTTTGAGACAGGGCTTCTCTGTGCAGCCCTGGCTGTCCTGGAACTCAGTCTGTACCCCAGGATGGACTCCAACCCAAAGAGATCCTCCTGCCTCTACCTCTGCCTCCTGAGTGCTGGGATTAAAGCTGTGCACCACCATCTTTGTAGGTGACTGCAGTATAGTGTGATGTCAAAGTTTAGGCTAGGCACCGCTGTTCTAGAGGAACTACATGAGTTAATAGAAAGACACTAGATTGGCAATCAAAAGACCTGTTCCAAGACCTGGCTGTCTGTGACTACTGGCCAAATACATCAACTCTCAGGCCTCAGTTGACTGCTGGTGGGATATGAGAAGTTCATCTTGTAGGCTTTATCTTTTTCTAGCTCTAATGTTTTAACAGCCTTCCTTGCCTAACAATGGAGATGTATCTGTCTCCATTGGAGCTGATTTTAGTCTGGAAGCTTCTTAGACCCTGCTGTTGTCACAGCTTAACCTAGTCTCCCTTCCCCAGATGATCTTTAACAGACTTTCCTGGTTCTGCCCCCAGGTTATGACTGCCCAGCCACGGAAGGGATATTTGACTATGCAGCAGCTGTAGGAGGAGCTACAATCACAGCTGCCCAGTGTCTGATTGACGGGAAGTGTAAAATAGCAATTAACTGGTCTGGAGGGTGGCATCACGCAAAGAAGTAAGGAAATGGTCTTTCTGCTTTCTAATTATTTCCTTGGTCAATCTCTCAGTTAGTTAAAAGTGTACACTTGTTATACTGACCCTTCAGGGAAGCATGTATGTGTCTAGCATTTTTATATGGTGTTCTGAAAACATGCGATTAAGATAGATGACCTAATATAGTGGAAAGCACACAATTGAAAGTTAAGAAAGGAAGGAAGGAAGGAAGGAAGGAAGGAAGGAAGGAAGGAAGGAAGGAAGGAAGGCAGGCAGGCAGGCAGGCATCTGGGCTGTATGTCTTGTTTTCCTGCAAACTTGGCTAGAACTCCCTAGGCTCCAGTTTCTTCATCAGTGAAGGGACAGGGAAATGGATGTAATTAGCCAACCTACACATACCTTGGAAGTTCTCTGTCTCTGGGACTTGACTCTAGAAACAGGAACAGAATTGGAGTAGTTAGAAGATAATATAAATTATGATACTAAGGGAATATTGTAGTATATAATATGAGTAGATTGGCAGTAGAGAGAATTTAATCATGGAAGTCTTGGGAGAGGTGCATTTCAGAGCTAATACTTGACAGAAGAAATGGGTTTTTTGAATAAGTAGATAATTGATGAGAATCCACATAGAACAAAATGCTTCAAAATAATGAAGGAGTCTTATACTACCATGTTCAAGGAAAGTACTCTTCTTAGGTGCTGCTTGCTTAGAGGAAAAAAAATAAAAGGCCTTTTTGAATTTTGTGTTTTGTGTGAAACTTCCTACTCTGACAAGAACTACAAGGCCTTGTCCCACATCTGGCATCACGTTTGCTGCGTTAGTAGTACTTTATACTTGCTAGGGAGGGGGGATTTCACAACTGAACTTACCAGTATGCCGTCTGGGTGAAGGAAAGCAGCCATCTTAGTAACTGCCAGTGTATCATTCACAAATCAGCAGCCAACCAAGACCTTGATCTTCAGTAAAAAGGGACCAGTATTTGATTCTTTCAGATTGAAAGACACCGCAATTTTAGTGTGTGCAAATTTACATAATAGTATGGTGTTCTTTTCCAAACAGATTTCTTGCCAAAGAAGTTCTTGTAAAACTGAAGAACTACCATTTACTACCTAGACAGTAGAAAACAGATGTTTAAGTAATGATTTCATACGGTCTTAGACAAAGAGATTTGGTAGCTTTTTTTTTTTTTTTTTTTTTTTTTTTTTTTTTAGTTCAAAATTGAAACAAGATCTTTTCTTGTTAAAGCTGAAGAATCTCAGAAAGGAGCAAGATTCTCTGCACCCAGGACATCTCTGTACTTTAGGCTTAGGGGGTAAAGCCCTGTGTTTTCACCAAGAATGTTTGCTGCGGCAAGTGTGCTGGCATTTCCCATGTTTCTGTTTGCTACAGGAGGCCTGCCTGCTAGGGCTTGGGTCAGTTTACACCTTGCCACTTCTTACCACTGTATTTCTGCCAAAGGCTGTGCATTCTAATGGAGTCAGCCGTGGCTGGCTGGCTACATATAGGTGTGAAGATACTCACATGTCATTGGCTGTTTAAGGTACCTTTCAGCTGATCCTGTCTGTACAGTTTCTGGGCTTTGACACCCTAGAATCCCTCTGAAGTGGGGCTCCTAGACACTACCTATTATTGTTACTGGAAGTTTGGGGGAGCCTAACCTGGGTTATCACGTGTTACTGGGCAAATTAATTAATTTAATTCTTTAATTAAAGAATTTAAGAAGAGACTCAGGCTAGGCATAGTGGCACATGCTTTTAATCCCAGTGCTCAGGAGACATAGGTGGGCAGACCTTGTAGTTATACTCCTGCTAGGGCTGTGTAGTGAGGAGTCTATCTTTTAAAAAAGGTAGACTCAGCAGGAAACTCAATGACAATGGCAATTTTATTGGTCTTTAAAAAGAAAACCCTTAGGGCAAGCCAATCTCCAGTAGCTGCCAGGGAGCATGAAAAAAAAAAGGGAGAGAGAAAAATCATGCCTTTTGTAAGCCACATGGCAGAAATGAGGGGTTGGGAGTCAGGAGTAGGAATAACTTCAGAGAAAAAAAAATGAGAAAGCTGGGAGTAAAAACAGGAAAAGTTACTCTTTTCTAAGTGATTTGGAAAAGCAAGCAGACTTAACTATACCCAAGGGGGTGGGAGGGTAGGGTTTCTGAAAGGAAAAGAAAAAGTACCTCCTCTCATTAAGGGTGTAAATTGTTTCTCCCATTTATTTAGCATGCCTTTAGGTGGGCTTTTGGCTTTGCTTAATTAACTCTTTTGTTCTGGTAGTCTGGACTGTTAAATCTCCAGCCAGAGCCTGGGGATACAATTTAGATCCTGGTTTCTTATCTCCACCACATACCCTAACCCTGACATCATTTAACAGATAGGCTGAAATTGGGGACTGGGTAGACCCTGTTTCCATCATGAAAACTCAGAGGCCCAGTTGTAGCTGTCTACCAGAAGCTCCTGAGTGTCTGGACTGGAGTTCTGCTCACATGCACGTGTAGGCAAGAGCCCTCATTTGAGATGAGATAAGAAACCAGAGCTCCCCTCTAGCATTTGGACATTCCATTCCTGGAACTGCCGCTTTGGGGGTCCCTACCCTAAGCTGCCTGTCAGGATTCCATGTCCTTTTCTCTTTATTACAATCACACTATCTGTTTAAACCTTCCAGATACACACACAGATTCATCTATCCCATTTATTCCTTAAATCAAGCACTGATTAAACACTGTATGGCAAGCACTTCTTTTTTTTTTTTTTAAATCCCCAGTAACTGAAGAAAGAGAAAGACATCTTTGATTCGAAATTATTCAGTTGCTAACAGGGTTCTGTTGGAACTGGCTTCTTAAAAACTTTGGTAGTGTTGAAAGTGGGAAATACGTTGACCCAGTAACAATATTCTTAGAATTCTATTTTGAAGAAATAAGCTGATCCTGTCATCAAAAAATTAATATCTTGGGGATGATACAGTAAATCACTACATTTGAAAGCTAAATAAGAGTGATTTTAGAAAAATCCCACAAAAGAGTAATGCAAAAGGACTAGTGCTACTAAATATTAGGTGTACAGAGCTTGAATACTGAAAACTCTGCCAAAAGATAGTATAGCCATCAAAGAGACCAATTCTGTCTACGTTTAATGGATTGTAAAAGGTGCATTGGGAAAGTCCACACTAGCGGCCTGGTTAGGCTGAACTGCGACTAAACTTCTCTGTCCTATTTTTCATTTTCTCTCATTGCCAACATAGGCAAGCTGGCCAAGTCCAGTGAGTCAGTTGGTACACAAGACCCAGGCCTTTTACCAACAGGTTAAAGCACATAGCAACAGTATCTTGGAGGAAGAGAGGGACTCCAAGGCATTTTTATTACTTGCCATGCATTTTCTCCCTTTAGCCCCTGTCATGTCTCCACCGTCCTCTCAGAAACTCCTTATTCAGTAGCTCAGAATGCAACGTAATCTTCAGTCATCTGGGCTGCTTCAGTCTCATTAAGAATAAGGTTCTGATGTATATATGAAAATGAATAAAATTATTTTTCTCTGGTTAATCAATTTTTATGCTAACTCATACCTCATCCAAGAACCTAGAAGGGGTAGGGGAGGGACGTTATTCCTTTCCCACCCCAGACAGCTGAAGAAACTATCATTGGAGCTGATGTCTCACATCAGTGCCTTAAAATATCAACAGTTACAGCTTTCTGTGTGAAGGACACTTTTACTGATAGTATCCTGGGAGTTTAGTAGCATTTCTTTGATACTTGTTTCTCTTCCATACTTTGCTGTAGGTCAAGTGCCACCTGCTGGCAGTCAACTGTTATGGTCTCTCTCTCTCTCTTTTTTTTTTCCTTTTCTTTTTTTTTTTTTTAAATATTCCCTTCTCTGTATATCACTGGCTGTCCTGGCACTCTGTAGACCAGACATGTTGGCCTCTTGAATTTGGAGATCCACCTGCCTCTACCTCTCAAGTGCTGGGCTTAAAGGTATGCATGCCCCCCCCCAACCTGGCAAAATATATCTTATGTTCATTTTATATTTTCTGGCCTCAAGCTCTCTTTGTAGCCAAGAATGACCGTGAACTACTGATCCTCATGCCTCTTCCTCAGTGCAGGTGTCACAGGGATGTACCAGCATGTCTGGTTTCTGCAATGCAGAGGATCAAACCCAGAGCTTCATGCATGCTATATAAACACTCTACCAACTGAACTCTAAAAACTTCAGTGCTGGGAATTGAACCTAGGACCTCATGCATGCTAAGCAAGTGGTTCCATTCCTGACCTGGCATTTCTTCTTTATATGCCCTAAAGCCTGTATGTACATTTAAGGTGATCAGTCTTGTCTGGACACACCGTTTAGTATTTTATGCATTTGTTTGATGATGTACTTTACTTTTATTTCAAAGAGGCATTTCTACTGGAATCTCCTTACTAGTTAGTACATCTATCTATACTGATATTTTCCTTTACTACTTTCAAATTATAGTCTGTAAAGTATGCCTCCATAATTTTTTAAAAGGTCATTTTTAAGGGTTATTCTTCACTCTTTCTTCCCATTTCCTCACAGTCAGATATGGACATAATTTCTCCGTGATTTGGAGGAGAAAGAAGCTTTAAGAACTTTGAGATTGTGGTCTATTTTGAATAAAGCCTGGACATGGTAGTAATGTAAAGCTAAGACGCAGTATGGAGGTCACAGAAGGAAAACTGAGGATGGAAAGGAAGCCTGGACAGAGAGCTCAGCAGGTAAAGAGCTTGCTGTGCAAGCATGAGAACAGTTCAGATCCACAGTACTCCAGGAAAAGTTGGGCAGCTGTGGTGGCGTCTGGTAATCCCAGTGCTAAAGAGGCAGAGATGCTGGATTGGATTCCCAGAGTAAGCTGGGTAGTTTAGACTGGCCAGAATCAATGAGCCCTGGGTTTGAGAGACCCTGCCTCGATAAATGAAAGTAGAGAGTAATCAGAGCTGTGCAGAATGTGGCTGTTTCCACTTTGTCCTTGTGCTCATGATCAATGCTTAATCATATGTGGAAGAATGAAGAAT